TCTAGCCAGAAGCCCTGCTTCCCCCCCTCGCCCCCCACCCTTGTGCTACAGGGAAGGCAAGAGGAACTGGGGGGGGCCCTTGGTGCCCAGAAGGGGAGGGGGTTCTCATCCTGCAGGTCTTCTGTCCTCAAGAGCTGCATGAAGCCATCTGTAATAACGCCATTGGGGGGGGACCTGCAGTGTGAGCCAGAGCTTTACCTGTTGGATAGCCGCTAGGCAAGGGGGGAAAGGGGTTCTCCCGCCCACCCACAGAAATGGGCAAGGCTGTTCCACGCTATGCCCGGCCAGATGCCCCAGGGAGGAGGAAAAGCGCTACTCAACCGATCTGTCCAATCTGTCCGTGTCTGTCTGGGCAGGGGGGAGGAGAAGGGGGGGGCTTGCTTGGCTTTGCAACTGAGGAGGGAAGGAAAGTGTCTCTCCTAACACTGGGCCAAAAAGACCCGGGTTTTACTCCCAGGATTCAGATATCATGGGTTACAAAATAAAACTTGAAATTGGATTCGATCTCTGCTGAGTCTGCTCCTTTTTACCCCCAACACCTCCTGGAATCCGGGCCCGACTTGGGAGAGGCGCTGGACGAGCCGAGGGTGCCCGCCAAGGACACGGCTGGGGTGCCCGGGCAGCTCCCCTCCTTCACCGCCCGCCCTGCGAGGCAGGCTGGCCCTTGGGGAGGAAGCATGTTGGTGGGCGCAGGTGAGGGACAGGAGGCCCCAGGGAAGCGGGGGGGGGCAAAAGACCAGCCCCTGCCTGGAGGGCGCACGCACGATGGAGCGACACAGGGGATCCGCCAGAGACGAGACAGTGAGAGCCAGAAGTGCTGCTTGGGAAGCAGATCATAAAACGTTTTTCTTTTCTCCCTGAAATGTGTTACCAAATTTGTTACTGTGTTTGAAAGTGTCTATTTGTTGCACTGCCTGTTGTTACCTTTTTTGTTTGGAGGGGGCAGGTGAGGGGGAAGCTTCCTTAGGAAGGCCCGGAAAGGCTTCCGACTGAATGTTTCTAACAGCGGCTTGAAAAAAGTAACCTCCAAAAGTCTCTCTCTACGCAGAGAGCTTTGGTTCCCACTGACCGCGTTCCTTTTGAAACGAATTGTTGCTCCATCCTTGTTACCAAGGAAGGGCAACAAGCTAAAAGGACACATTCATTGCTTGCAACGTGTTCCTTTCTGCTGAGGCTCCGAGGCAGCAGCCGAGACCGACGCGGATCATGTCCCTCTGTTCGTCCACAGAGCTCAGGACGGTGGCCACAGACCGGGCTGGGGGTGGGAAAGGTGACCCCTCCCGATGCAGACCCTTCTAAAGGGCAAGATGACAAAAACTGGAGGGAGGGAGGGAGGAACTGGCCTCACACACACACACACACACACTCCTCCCCGGGCACGTGCTTTCCGTGGGGCGCCCGTCAAGAGGAACACGGCTGGGTGGGTCGATGGGTGGGCAGGAAAGGAGGGAACAGGGACCCCCCCACGGCCCACGGCTGTGCTCCATCCATTCACGGCTGCAACTACGAAAATAAAGGGCATTTCTCATTTCTTTTATTGAAAGCTTTTCTATTATTTCACCCACACAAATCCTTCCCAGCAACACGGCATTTGCTTTTTTTTTCCTTCTCTTTTCTCCCCACCACCCTCCCTCCCTCCCTCACAATTTTAAAACAAAAGAAAGGAAGATTATATACAGGCCTCTGAGGCTAAGAGCACGCAGCAGCTATTTACAAGGTAGTTATTTACACTCGGGGCACCGTGGCGGCTTCTCTCGGCCCACGCGGCTCCTCCCGCCGAGCGCTTGGCCCGGGCCGGCCGGGGTTAGCTTTGCAGCGCCGCCTCGAGCTCCGGCATGGACAGGGGCGCCATCTTGGCCACTTCAAAGAAGACCCTGCAAGGCCGAGGGAGGGACAAAGCGACGGTCAGGAGGGATCCTTTTGGGGTCAGAGCTATCCGAGCAGGCCCCACAGCCCGGCTCAATTGAAAGGGCGCCCCACCCCGTGCTTGGCTTTGTTCTCAAAGGCTGTGCCCCCCTCCACACACACACACTGCTCGGATAAAGGCTCCTTCTCCATCCAGGGCGGGCAGCTTCCAAGGGCCTGGAGCCCTTTCCCACCACCGCTGGGCCCACGGCAGCCCTTCCCAACCCACCGCTTCAGCTTTTTTTTTAAAAAGGTATTTGCTAAGATGGGGAGAACTGCAGCCCATGGAGGCTTCTGGAGACCCAATTCCAATCACACCTCTTTTTTTGCAAATAAATAAAATAATTGAGGGCAAAGCAGAAGGTGGGAGCAACCCAGACCACTCCCCCCCGCCCCCCGCGCTGCATCCAAAGCGGAAGTGCTCTACAGTTTCTCAGTCCCTTGACTCCACCACCTTCTAGCAGGTGGATTTTCAGGGGCCTTTGGCTGAACCTTGTCTTTCTTCCTCCAGCAGCCAAGAGACTCTGCTGCGTGAAGGAGACCCCCTGAGCCCTCGCTCGTCTCCTGCTGCCTCTTTTCCAGGTCTGGGTCTTCCAGAATCCTCCATCAGAAGGGGAGGGAATTTAACAGCCTGGCTGACCCCCCCCCCCTTCTTGCCACCGTCCTGGGCTCAGGCAAGACGGCCTGGGCGTTCAAGGGCACCCTGAACCACTCACCGGTGAGAGTATTTGGGGCTCAGGCAAGACGGCCTGGGTGTTCAAGGGCGCCCTGAACCACTCACCGGTGAGAGTATTTGCTGCGCACGGCCTTGAGCCGCTGGTCATGGCGATAGGTCAGCAGGAAGTTCAGCCGCTTCACCAAGGGGGGAAGCTCCTGGGCTTTGTAGCCGCTGTAATGTTCCAGGGTGGGATTCTGCAACAGAGAAGGGGGTGGGAGTGTGTGTGGAACCTTGTGGCTCTCTGTCCTGCCAGAAGTTGCCCAAAGAGAAACTCTGCGCCCCAGTTTCTGCACCCTGGATGCTGGGCAAAAGGCAGCCAAGAGGAACCATGTCAGGGGGCACGCGCGGGGGCGGTTAGGAGTAGGGTCAACCCACCCACTTCATCCCCTCCACCACCGTGACCAGGAGGGCCAGATGCTCACCCAGCCACTGAGCTTCTTCATCTTGAGAGCCAAGAGGAGGCAGCTGGCGGCCAGCCGAGAGGCCCTCTCCTGGACCAAGTCATACTCCTGCAGGGTCAGCTCACAGATGAACCGGGCCAGGGTCAAGGTCTCCATCGAGGCGTGGGCGCACTGTGGGGGGGGGGGGGAGAGAGAAAGAAAGAAAGCTCCTGAAAAGTGCCCCTCCCCAGGTGGAAAGGGCAGCATCAGGGAGAGGCCCAGAGGAGACCAAGCAGAGAATAAAACAGCCCCTCTGTTTTTACACCTGGGGCTCAGACTGCCAGCAGAGGCAAGCTGAGCTTTTCTTTTTGCTAGGGGGGGTGGTGGGGGTGCCAGGCCCTCCACCTGCCTCCTCAGCAGAGACCAAGGAAGGGAGCAGCTCTTTCCTCCAATTTCCAGGAAGGAGCACTTTCTATGCCGTCCAGACCAGGCACAAGGAGGCCAAGCTGATCAACCGCACGGCTGAATCCAGCCCTCTGCAAGGGATGGCGGGGGAAACAGGCTCGTTTCACATCAACTATGCCATTCACCAAACGTGGAGGTTATAAGCTTCTGCTCTCCTCGCAGGCATGTCCGATAAGGGCACGAGCGCTCAAGCCCCTAGGGCGTTCTTGTCACAATAAATCTTGGTTTAGCCACCCAGAGCAGACTTCGGTTTAGATAGGCGGGGTATAAATCTAATACGTAAATAAATAAGATGGGGCAGCAACCCTCTTCTCTCTAGCCCCCCTCCCTATAACTGCAACCCCCCCCACACACACACACACAAATAATGGGGCACCCAGCTCTCCTTTCGAGGGCAGCTCCCTCCTGCTCCTGGCCTTTAAAACCTCCCAGTTTGGCCATCAAGTCTTTCCCCAACATGGGGCTCTCGGGCCAAGCCTAATGGCTTCCGACTCTGCCCGCTCCCTTCAGCTGTCTGTCTAGCAAACAAAGACCCCACCGCTTGGAGGGGGAACTAAACTTCTCTCTGGGGCCAGCAGGCCACCCCAGAGGGCACATCAGCCTGTTGTACCCCAAATCTCCTAAGTGGCAGCATTGGGCATCAAGGATGGAGGAAGAGGGCAGATGGCCCCTTGCAAGCGCAGCAGGAGACGGCAGGCACCAGTGGCCATTCTCACCCCAAGGCCCTTTCTCGTCCACTCCACCCCACCCCACCCCCCCACCAAACTGTAAGC